AACTCCATTGCCCGGAGGTACCGATTAAAAAAAAAACAACCAAAACCACCACCTCTCTTCCAGTATTTAACACCAGATCTCTGTTATACCTCTCCCTCCCTCCCTCCCTCCCTCCCTCGCTCCCTCCCTCCAGGATCTTCCTCTCTCCCAATCTTCGGTTTCGCTTCTTCCCTTCCGCAGTGTACTTCCTCGCCTATCTGTTCCTCCGCGTGGGACAGCCACCGTCTCTCTCTCCCTCCCACTTATCAAGTGCTTTAACAACCAATGCAAACTCCAAGTCGCAGACCTATTCATCCTACCTACTTTTCACTCTACTTTCTTAACCTGCCTACGTATCTACGAAACTCCACTGCTGATTACATAGCAGCATCTTTACACAGCCCTCCCCGACTTGCACCAATCTGGTACACAGCTTTTTACGGCACGTCGCGAACACACAAATTACAGCAACCAGCAATTACTGTTTACCAAGAGGCAAAGATACTTACAGAACAATCGAATCTCTTGAAATGACGTTGACAAGACGTCGGCAATAAACCCCCACGCCGGGCCCACAGAGCCGTGCGTTGACCCACAATTTTTACGCAGCCACTGGCTCTATTGTCCGCTCCTTATCCCTCAACCAAAGAGGGGTTTCTAACCTCGCCTCCACCGCCTCAGATCGTGAACCACGACTGCCTACTGGCACGATGGCTCCTGCACACCCAGCTCCAGATGAAGTGCCCTGCCGCACGCCATCGCTAGACCCACCAGACTTATGGCCCCTTGCACTGAGCCTTATGTACAGGTAAGTTGCAATAAGAAAATTGATAAATGTGAGCCCTCCAAAAAGATACAGCTCGAGCCGTGCAATGGTCGCATCCGGTTTTGTGTTCTTAACGATGAACGCAACATCGCCAACCAACAGCGCGACATCCACCAACCATGCGACCTGCATCCAGGAGGCCATGAGAAAAAGGTAACGGTGACACAGAAAAGATAAGCAGCAAGGAACGCAGGGAAGCCTCAACCACAAATCAAATCAATTTCAAAGAGGAAGTCGTCGTCCCCGGTTTCAGACAAGACAGGAGTCCTTCCAGACGCTAGAACTCGTAAGATCATTGAACAACTCTTCAGGGGTTTCAGACAGACATACAGCTTTCCAGAGACACTTGTGAGGAGCAATCGATCGCTTCATTGTTTTGCGGAGGATTGGTGTATAATATAGATAATAGATTGCTTACATCAAGAAGAGCACTACCTGTAGAGCATTCTTCGCTGCATCAAATTTGCATTGTCGAATCCCCAATAAAGAATGATAAGCCACTAGAGCCGACAGCAGATTGAGTATAAGAAACTCTCGGCGATTGTCGTCTTTCAAGTGATCAAACTGACCCTTTATCCGAAGCACCTGTCAGAAAGAGAGTACACAGACAGAAAAAGGTCAGGGCAGTTGTCAATTCAGATGCTGGGCAGGACGAAGAAGACACAGGCGCAACGAGTAAAGCGATAGAAAGAGAAGAAGGAAGTAGGTGAGTTCTGCATAATGCCAGAGCATCTCCTGTTGTTCCTTTTGACTGTAGACCGCTGCACAACTCTAAACAGTGCCTTATGGTCCTGGCTGCTTCTATACTGGGGAGCGTCAGTCCGGTTCCTATTCCACCGGCAAGTCAGAAAAAACATTACATTGCCACAAACAACTCTACATAACTAACTAGTCCTATATACACAAATTGTCCCCTTCACAAACAGTCGAGAAGAAAACAAAAGCAAGTACGAAGACAACGTCATCTAAACGACCACTGTGGGTCAATGATCCACAATACTCTGTAGACCACTGTGGGTCAATGATCCACAATACTCTGTAGTACTCACCAACCGTCAGAGACAGAACGTGCATCTTCACATAGAAGCTACCGACTTCCCCCGAACATAACGCACCCTAAAAATGAATGTATACAAGCTATATTTCCAGCCAGATACAGCCAAAATAAGGGTGCATTGTGTTCAGGGGAATACGGTAGTAAGTTACATCGGCAAATATTCTTAGTCGTGGATGAATGTTGCTGTCATGGTCTACAAAAACAAAAATGCGCGCATCGCTTTCCACGTCGGTGAGGCCCGATGCAAATCCTCTGCCTTGCATTCATACGTAACCAATACCACGGCTATATCATCAAATATATACATATATATTGTCGCAAGAATATCAGAGTGCAAAAACAAAAAAAAAAACAAAAAGGAAAAAGAACAAAAACAAGGACAAAATGAATTCGTTTTTTTTTATCTTCTTTCTTACAACTCCCCCTGTTCAGAACCTCTTTTGTGTGCACGGCCGCCCACGTGGATGTAGGTTGAGCGGCGGCTGCCCCCACCCCAGTGTGTCATATCGACCCACTTGCACACAGCCAAAAGGCAAAGAGGCAAAGAAAGAGGAAGGAAACAGCCAAATATGACAAAACAGAGGGAAACAAACATAAACACATCCTAGATGACAAGTCCCACATGCAAGCACCGCCCCCTCCGTCACAGGCCAAACAACGGGACAAGACCAACCAGGATATCAAAACACCCTTGCCTGCAAACACGCAATCCCAGATAACAAACCTTTCCTACTCACCAGCGACTCTGCGTCTATATAGTAAAACAGAGCTGCCCCGTAAACCGTAGGCAGAGAGCGAGAAGAGGACAACAAACAAGGGGCTGTGACAAACTGTTTAGTCAGAGTTTCACCGACTCATCAGGAGGCTAAAAAAAAAATATATATATATATATACAGTATTATACACGATATATCAAACAGAGCTTCCCGGTAAACCGTCGGAAGGAGAGAGAGAGAGAAGAGGACAAGAAACGAGGGGATGTGACAAACTGTTTCGTTGGAGTTTCACCTCCCTACTCATCAGGAGGCTGAACCCTCAACAGTCTTGCAGAATCCCCTAACTGATTAAACTGTCAGTGATAATCCACCTAAACCCCGGCTGTGGTTAAGCATAAACGACCTCCCGACAACTGATACCCCTCTGAGGAGGTGGGCACCAACCACTGCCCTCAAGGTACCAATGACGGAAACAAAAGCAGACTGTCACTCACGCACACCAGATGGAAAACTCTACAGACTGTCGGTTCACACCCCATCACAAGCAAGCAAAACACCCAAAGAAAGGCCTGTCACAGCCAAAAAATACACTCCAGACACACGGCTGGCACTAGAGACACACAATGGCCGCATAGTGACGGCCCCGCCCACTGCCGCTCGACCTGACCGGAGACAACCATAGCAGGGTGCTAGCGAAGACGTGGTCTATATATACATATATCATCACATGAATATGAGAGCGCAAAAGCAAAAAAAAAGGAAAAAAAAGAATGAATTCGTTTTTTTATATCGTCTTCCTTACAACTCCCCCTGTTCAAAACCTCTTGCGTACAAGGCCACCCACATGAATATCAGAGCGCAAAGGCAAAAAAAAAGAAGAAAACAAGAAAAAAATAATTATATAATTATATATATATATTGTCAAACAGAACTGCCCGGTAAACCGTAGGCAGAGAGGGAGAAGAGGACAACAAACGAGTCGTCACAAAACAGAGCTGCCAGGTAAACCATAAGCAGAGAGGGAGAAGAGGACAACAAACGAGGGGCTCCCTCTCTGCCTACAGTTTACCAGGCAGCTCTGTTTGACGATATATATATTGGCACACAGTGAATCGGAGCGCAAAGGCGGAAAAAGACAAAACCAAAAAAGGAAAGAAGTAAGGTAGGGATGCTCCACCTGTTCATCAGGTCTTACATACAAGGCCAGCCACGTGGATGACAGGTTGAGCGCTGGCTGCCCCCATCCCCGTGTGTCACAAGGACCCACTTGCACACAGCCAAAAGGCAAAGAGGTGAAGAAAAGGAGGAGGAAACCAAACCTCACAGAGGCAAGAGAAGAAAAAGGGATCCAGTCCAAGAAAGGACAAGGGAAGAGGAAGGCCTATCAGTCAAACAAAGCAAATGACGCATCCCGCAGATAAACCAACTGCCACTGTCACATTTTTCTTTTTTCTTTTCTTCAGCAATTAGCTATTTTTTTCTTTTTTGTTTTTTTGTTTTTTTCTGAGTGGGGATCCGGGCCGCCCGGGTGACCGGCAGGGGCCCGGGAGAGGTCCCGGGCGGCCTGGCCGGGCAGGGCACCCGGTTGGGGTCCGGGCCCCCCCAGCGCACTCACCTGTCGGGGGATTTCGGACCCCCTTCCGAAACCCCTTTGTGTGTGTGTGTGTGTGTGTGAGAGAGAGAGAGAGAGAGAGACCCCCTCTGTGTGTGTGTGTGTGTGTGTGTGTGTGTGTGTGTGTGTGCGCGTGTGTGTGTGTGTGTGTGTGCGCGTGTGTGTGTGTGTGTGTGTGTGTGTGAGAGAGAGATAGATAGAGAGAGAGAGGTGTGTTCGAATCATACTTGCAGCGTATCTCATGCGTGGGGTGCCACACGCACATCCACGCACCCACAAGTGATGCGGCGCACTAAAAAAATAGAAAAACAAAAATGTCCTAGTTGTGTCCAGCCTCTTTTCGGAAGGATCCCTACAGCATATTAGCTAGGACCCGACRTCATGCAGAGATACAMTTCRAACTTGTACTCSCTGAGGGTGGGCAGAGAATATATAGTCTGGATTCGAATTCAGGTCTGTGCATGTCGGTTATGGGTCACCATTTCTCTGTTTTCTCGCTTTTCTTTTCTTTTCTCGTTTTTGAATACGTGCAGTGGCCCTAAGGGCCTTTACTCACCAAATGCACAAAAGACAAAACATATGGCGGCATATTATTCCACGTTCTGCAGAAGATTCATTCTAATTTTGCACATTTCGTGAGTAGTGCAGCCAAGCCCTAAGAGTCAAGTGCAGAGACCAACAGGCCCTAGCTACGTGAGCAACCCATAACTGCTGAAACACAGACCTGAATTCGAATCTTGAGTATATATTCGGCCAGCTCGTGCTCTCTTTCATATTCACTGCCTGCCTCGATTTTGGTGGGGGGGTCTG